CTCCATTGTTGCGCCATCTGTAGATCCATTTACTCATCGACTCAATCAGCAGTTTGCAGTAGGAGTAAATAAACAACACTTTCGTTTTACCACTGTCTTCAACATTGACTCGCTCGAGGGCAGCAAGAGTGGCCATATACTCGATTCGAATGTTGGTTTGCCATGGTCCATCTGTCCTTTTTAGATGGTGCCAGTTAATCTGAAGCCTGTGTTGCCACACAAGTACGCCTGGATGAAGTAACTTCAGAATTCATGTCCATTCCCCAGTACATCGTCGCATCACTTTGGTTAGTCGCTAACAGCTGAATGAAATGAAACCAAGTTCGTCGTACATTTATAATGGTCGAGCTTTGAATTCACGTGCTTGAGGGTGTTCCGCTAAAATTGCTTCCCAGACAGACTCTGGTGCAATGGGTGCATCAGTTTGAGGATCCCACCCGAAGCCACTGTTATTTTTCATTGCTGAGTATGTTTTGTACTTCTTTTTCAGATCGGCAACCTTACTCTGCAATTGTTTGCGTGTTATAGTTTCATTTTCAGATTAGTGCCTGTTGAATTCACGTTCAATTGTGTCCAGACGGGTTTCATTAAACGCGCCGTGGCAGGTGAATCCCAATCGAGCAACTTGATAAGGTACAGCAAAGATGAGTCGAGCCGTAGGTTCGTCGGTCCAAGCAAGGTCATCGTGAACGTCTCGGTTGTTGTGTGTAGTAGGAGGTCAATTGGATACTGACTTGCATGTTTGTATATTTTAGGATGGGTTTGCACATGATTGGTTTGATGGGGGTTTGTAGCAAAATTCTAGAGCGTTAGAAAAACCTAATCCTCAAAATGTTGTGCTCTTCCATTACAAAATCGATTTCATGTGAAGAAAATTATTTGGGTGTTTATATCTGTTTGTAAAGGTAGCACATTTGTAATCCGCTACTTTATTCCGTAGTCTGCCCGAATTCGAGCGGATGAAATCCGCTGAAATATGATCAATTTCCCGCTGGAAAGTTTGCAGTACGGGCTAGCGGATTGGCAAATCCACTGGATGTCAACTTGAATCTGATATGATCGCTGTTTGGACCTGGTAGTCGAGTTTGGCTATTCACGGACGAAAACTTCATTCCACTGGAATTTTGCCATGCAGTACCCACCATAAGTAGGGTTTTGCCTTCGAAGTCACAGTCACCACCGCCCGCCACTATTCGAACGGAGTTTTTAACAACCGGACGGGATAGAGAAGGTTGGGTGGCGTTCAAGTTCAATCCTGTACAGCTTTAGCATTCGATCATGAGGGTGTTAAGCTGGAAGTCAAGCCGACGGTCTAGAACTTAACGATGTAATGGGTCACTTTGATTGTCATCGCAGTTCACCGCTTTACTTGAACACATCCCGCAAAAACCTCTCCGCTGTCCCCCAAGTTGCCTGTTGAGCGCAATGGAATTTTCTTGACTGTCGGTGTAGTTTGAAAAACGGCATACTCGCTCTCTAAAGTCGCTGCCCAGAAATAGTACTGAACTAAGTTTTTTTGCGTACAGAATGCATTTTTATTAATGCAGCAGCAAGGCTGGGACGAGATCGCTGAGAAACTGATCTTAGCTATCAACAACGCTTTGGAAACCACGAAGAAGGAAACACCGTTTTTACGGGATTTTTTGTTTGGCTCTTCGTCACTAAAAGACAGTAACGGGCAACAATTCGATGCTCTCGCGTGGCGTCGGGAGGTTAATCGGCAGCAAGGAATTGCACTGGAACTGATAAAAGAGACTGAAAAAGCACGACGAGCGCCGAAAAACAACGAATCGTTGAGCAGGCGTGAAATGATGCGGGCACTGGGGCGGGTGCCACCGTTACTTTTGAGACTGCATAGCATGAGACAGGTGTTCCGGCTGAGACCTCAGACGACACGATACGATCGCTGTTAGGATCTGGTAGTCGAGTTTGGCTATACCTCGACGAAGAGCTACTACCGAAAGATAGCTGGGAACCAGATCATTTGCCAGAAGACTTTCAGACGGAAACTATCCTCGATGTTCGAGCGCCACTGCCATCGAACACTGAACGTGCTGCCCGAGCGTTCCAAGTGAAGTGAGTTGGTTATGTCACTTGGTTATGTCACACCTACATGGGAGCTGTTATCAAACCTATCGTGTGGAAGCCTTCTCAACGATTACCTACGAAAAACGAAGTGACCGACATTTGCAAATAGTCCAAGTCACAGACGAGGACTAGCTACAAAGCCAAATGAGGATTGGACTGACAGCGGGGACGGTACAAGTCTGCGATTATGCGAGATTATGCATCGGATGATGAAAAGTGCTTGACCTTCTCAGATCTTCTCACGGGATCCGCGAAGAACTGGTATCACCAGCTGGGTAGATCCACTCGCAACAAATGGAGCGATCTACCGCGCAGATTCCAGATCCAGTACTGCGGGGTAGGAGTATCGGTAGCAAGACAGTATTACCATACGCGACGCCGATCTGACGAATCGCCACTGGACTACTTGTATCGGCTCCACGTGACAGGCCTCCTTTTGCGACTGAAGTTCAAGGATGGCAGCGCGATGGATCGACGTGAACATGTGGATCATTACCTTGAGACGCTGGAGGATCAAGATCTAGCAGAACGATTAACAATGCTACGGTTGACTGACGCGGATGATCTCGAAGAAGACCTTCACGCTCGGGATCGCGCCAAGAAGCGTCAGAAGAAAGTTGCGTTTGGATCCAGCAAGTATCACCAGAAGACGACCAATACGACCCCTTCGCTCCAGCACAACTAATATGTGCGATCCAGATCCATGCCAACGACTCTGGATCCGACGGCTAATCTTACGGACAGGGTGGATCCGACTCTGCCATCGACAGCCATCGCAGGAGCTTGTTTGCAGCGAACGAAGACGTCACCCCGAAGGTGGAAAAAGTGTCGGCGAACCTAGATCCTTGCCTTCCAGACCGTGATCATGGCCATCAAGATCACTACTCGAAGACCCACGGTAATTTTTTACCGCCATCGATGCTCGCACTGTGGATCCAGGAAGCACTCAGACCTTGGTTGCTGGAGGCGCGTTACATGCACGAAGTGCGGCAAGAGAGGACATCTCTAGAATGACTGCCTCTTTGTGTGTCGCGGATGTGAAGAATTGCATAACATGGGACAATGTCCGATGGAAGAGTTCTACAACCAGATACGCCAGTGGTTTAGCGCCTCGGAGCTCATGGGTATATCGCCCGAAGCTGCTGAGAAGATGTTAAACTAGGACGCTCGTCGGGGTGGAATCCGATACGAGCCGAACATTCTAGATACTGCATCTATGCATTTGCAAGCAAGACATGGGTAGATCAGGTTAATAAACGACCAGATCTACACGGTAATACATGTCATCCTCATGGGAAACATACCTGCGCAATTTCAAGTCTTTGCCAAGACGACGAGTATGCCAGATCTGAAGTCACCATGAGTGTGGATCTCCAACCAGGAGAGTCACGAGGTTATTAGAGACAGCAAGATCCGGATCTATGGTTTAAACCCACAGATCGCGAGGTTACTTCGGAAATCAAGAGGTCCAGCAAGACCTCGGAGTACCGACGGTCAACAACCATGGATCTACTACCGGGAGAGTCTCGTGGTCATTGGAAACACCACTCGTCAGGAAAATGGTTTCGCCAAGCCAAGATTACAGGCAATATCCACAATGAAAAAGCGAGCTTACTCTTAGATACCGGCGCCGAGATTTCCATCGTGGACACCGTCTTTGCTCGTAAGGTTGGGTGCTATATCGACTCGTGTCAGATCCAGGCATGCGTGGGAATTGGCGACAATGTCTACCGGACAGAAGGAAGAACCCGGATCAAGGTGACTCTTGCTGGGTCACTTGTATATTTCTTCGATATCTGGGTTGGTGATCTGACTGACCAACAAGCTATACTTGGTATGGACTTCATGGTTCCAGCCAGGATCCGCCTGGATCTAGCTCATGGGTCGATCAGTCAGCCGGACGAAGTCCGGATCCAGCTTAACAGGAGATGGCATCTTATAGCGACAAAGCGAAGGTAGAAAAAGTCAGCCAATACCTTCGGGTTCAAGCTGGGGAATAGGTAGAACTGCCATTGCGCCTGAGGTCGTCGATCCACGACACGATGTGGATCACGCGTGAGGATCGATGGGTGCCGACAATATCCGATGTACCTGGGACGACGAAGTATATATCGATCACCAACATCGGGGCCGAGGTGTTGACCCTGCATCAAGACCAACGGATCGGGATCGGGCCGACCGGAGACCATGTGCCATGAATACCGGGTGCATTTCGATCGGTTCTCGTCGTTACATGGAGTGGCAGACTTTAGGGTTGGAAGCCACTACAGACGCTTGATCCGAAGATATGGAGATCAAGATCCCGCTCATACCAGCGGTGGAGCGATCGAGTACGAAACTCCGTGCGCAATACTCCAGAGGCCAAAGACGACGTTGAGCTAGTGTCGGAAGGTCAGGGCGAGTTCGAATCAAGGTATTCCTGACTGCCTACTGTCGGACAAGTCGCCGTCGGAGATTCGACCGTTGGACCTAGCGCCTGTCGCAAGTGAAGAGTCAGATCTGCCGTATATCGCAGATGGAGACTCTATATCGCATATCGTAACGGTCAAGGTGGCGCTGGAAGATATCGATCAAGTGACGCCAGACGGCTGGGCGTTTGGTCCGTCGCTGGAGGATACTACGAGTACGTGAAAATGCGAAAAATGGAAGGTCGAGATGGAATTGTAGTCGCCAACCAGGATCTACTACATTTTGGATGTCGGATCAAGGAACACCACCTTCGAAATGCGGTGGATCAGATCCTGCATCAATGATGAGTGTACAATCTGGGACAGGACGTGTGGCCAGTGATCCGTTGAACAACAATTACGTCGCGTCTATGTCGCAATGAACGGGGATGGATCCACCGCCTGTTGTTGAAGATCAACCAGACGCGTCGGACGTGGACCACACCTGGTGCTCATATGGAGATTATGGCGAATGTGTATATTGCCACAAAGGAAGTGATGTGTGCGCATTGATGTCGACGGTCAGATGGTAGTACTGCCATAAGTGTCCATGACGATGGAGGATGTGAAGATCGAGAATCGGGAAGTTCTGACACCTTCTGATCGGCAAAGCCAATGCCCCGCCGCGGCTTTCTCCTGATGTTGTGTGCGACATCGATGTCGGAGGAGCGAGGCCTATCACCCGGAAGTGTCGTAAGTTGCGGATCCAGTTCGGGAAGAAGCTGGCGGATCTGATTAAGGGTCTATTGTCTGCCAAGATGGTCAATTACTCTAGATCCCCATGGGCTTCCCGACCGTGGTGATCATCAAGAAGAATGGGGTGGATATCAGGTTGTGCATTGATTATCGATTGATCAATAGTCTAACTCAGCTGATGATCTACCCAATACTCTTGATCAATCACTTAGTTTAAAGATCTGGAGTCGACACTTTTGTACTGCTCTTTAGATATGGCGAGCGGATTTTGAGTGGTAAAAACGACGGATCGCGCTCGATTGATCTCGGCTTTTATTACTCCCTTTGGGTTATTTTAATGGAATCGGATACCCATCGGCTTAAAGAATACTTCCCAGATCTACCAACGTATGCTCGACAACGTACTATATGGATTCAACTGGATCCCGAAGACCGAAGATCACGGAAGTACTCAGGATGTGTTCGAGGACGGGGAACCGGTGGATCCAGGAAACCATCGGTGCCCGGGCGTAGATCATACATCGGCGATATCCGGATCCCAGTCCATAACTAGGATCAACTATGTGGTCGAGTTGAGGGACTACTTGAAGCACGTGATAGGTGGAATCTATCGATCAGTGTGGTTAAGAGGTTTTGGGGAATTCCTAAGGCGGAATATCTGGACCGTAAGGTACCTCACCTTGGACTGGAGACGAAATCCAAAGAATCTGTCGGTGATGACTGATCCGGCCAAGTAATGGCCCAACTAGTCCACTTTGACGCCATCAGTTCAAGTGAACCCACACGCTAACTGTCCGAGAGCCACCTGCCTCTCCACACTCCTGCCTCACTCCAGGAAGCCGGATCCCAGCCCCACGTACAGCTCCGTCCCGTCGAACGACCGGATGACCAACTTCTTTTGACGGGCAGCCTGGTACCGCGACCCTACATCCTGGTTTCGCGGTTGGAATCATCCTGTGTACGGCTGCGGGGGTGTTTCTTGTTGCTGGCTGTGCCCTGCTTGCGCAGCAGCATAACGACTCTGCAGTTCGTTCATGGGCATGCTGTATCAAGGCTGCTGCTTGCCAAAGTACTGTGTGGCCATCGGTTGCCTACGAGGCGTTACCGTTAGCGGCGTCAGTGGCGATCCACCAGCGAGTCGGTGTACACGCGTGTGCCGAGCCCCAGACCCGACGCGAACAGGCTTGAGTTCAAAGGCGGGGTCATGGGTATGGCTTGCGCCGATGAAGTTCCCTCTCGGCGTCTAGCCTCTTCTCCAGCTTCGTCTGGAAGTCTTTCAGATTTTCCTGCCGTCCAGCCAAGCCGCGGAGCAATGTCATCGTCATCGTCTTCGATGCCTCCGCTGCCTCCGACGTTTAAGCCTGATCGCTGGTATTGCCGCTGCCCCTTCCATGAGCCGTGACGGTGCTAATATCTTCTGCGTAAGAAATTCTGTACGAGGGGGTCATGGACCCGCAACAGATTGGTATGACGCACTATGCTTCATAAACGTGCATCACGAGCGGTAGACGTCTGAGGCATTTACGAATCGACTTCAGTAGCAACCATGACATCCAACCAGCTCGCAATCCACGGCCCCGTACGGCACCGAAAATGAGCCGCTAGAACAGCTAATACCATCGCTATCCGTGCTCGACACTCAGTTGTCGCCTGGGCATACGCAACAACAAGTATCCTCCACTGTAGTAGGTAATCACTGACATTACAAGAGCCTCCGACGAACCCCCGTCCAGCGGCGAATGAGCCGACACATCAAGCGGAACGCACACTAAGACGCGGTCGCAATGTGGTGCGCGGTGCGCAATGAAGGGTGTAGAAGTAAATAGTCTGTTGGATCTTCTCAACAAGACGAAGCCGATAGGACGAAACGAATGAGATACCGTCACACGCCGTCATAATGAGCATTCGTCCAAACCGTATGAATAGAGATTAAACACTGGGTGTTGTGCTAAAGATAATCCATAACAGAACGCACTGACGCTGTATCTAGTTCAAGTTAGCATGAGGGCCAAACACTACGTAGCATGGCTGTCCACGGAAGTAGTCATGTACGCACTGAATAGTTGCTCATAATTATCTGTATGGAGTATAAACAGAATATGGTTGCTCAAACCGAGGCAACAATTCTCGATAAGCCGGATGTTCGAAGCCAGTAAGTATGATTAACGACGGGTCATCTTCAGACCCATAGCGCGTAGCAAAGTCAGACATTTGAGCCCATTAGATGGCTACTCAGACTATCTTTTATCACGTGGGCGCCTTTCTTATATCGTTAACCTTGACTGGAAAAAATGATTTTGACGAGATGCTCACTGTCAGAAGAGCGCAGCGATAAGCAAGAGTGTATTTGTGGTCAGCTACAGAGGGGGAATGCTGCTTCATTGTACTGAGCAGTTTGTGTTTTCTGAACGCACAACGTTTGGTACGGTCTAATTTCGCGGCTTTTTATGCAGTAAATTTTGTTTTCAGGAAAGACTGTGCTTTGCAGATTTTTTCGCCTTAATAACGTCTGCAAAGCACAACAACAGACCTGGATGGAATATATATCACCCATAAACCAATATCACCCCTTAAACATACCAACGTCGTTTATTACTGGTACCGGCACTCCCTGTCTCTACGGTTGGACCCACTGATAACAGAACTGGATGGAATTTTATATCACCCATAAAATCCAAGTCATCCCATAACTCGTACTTAGTGCCGTTCTTGTTTTGTCCCGGGAGCCGGGAGCGGGAATGTTGAGAATTTCTATTGGCTAGTCAGAAAAAAACCACCATTGAAATCTCCCACATATCTCCCACTCCCAACTTTCTTTCGCGTCACTGGGGGAGGGACGATTGGTGGGAGTGTCATCAAAAAGAGCAGAGCAATGGAAGAACTTGAACGCGTTGAAAGCACCATGACGAACTACAAGACCTGGGGCGCTAACGCTCTTCGGGCAGAATACCGCATATATATACAAAGCCCATACACTCACCAGCGCCTCGTACTCACCTGTCGATTGCACACAGCTCTCTAGTAATTGTTGCTCCATGTTCCCACTTCCGTTTCTGTGAAATGCAATGGTGGTCAGGCTTCAGAAATTTTAACGATATAATGGAGTTTAAAATATTTAATAGGTTAGATGTGTATGTTACAAAATACTCCAAGAGTGGTATTTATTTAGGAAATTTGGGACGAAGTTTTTCCGAGAATCGTCCCGGGAACTTAAGAACGGGCATTAGTACTTAATGAATATCAGACGGATCAATATTATGGGTCCTGACCCGAGTCAGTATCAAATTCTGGGCCTATTTGAAATATCTAAATTTACCATAAGACCACAAGCTGGTATGGCTAGGAACTCAGGGCTATCGATTCATTCCTGCGCTGC